CCCTCACCCCAGCCCTTATGTTACCCTCCAAGGCAGAAGAACACAGCTGCTGCTGCTGGTACTACTTTCCTCTTCTCCTTACAGCCTCTTCACCTGGTGTCCATACGATTGTAAAATTAACCAGAGTTCATAACGTGACAGGTTAACCCATGTGACCTGCTGGGGTGTCATAATAAATCAGTTTTGCACTTTAATGTTGATAATATTTTTTTTTTTTTAATGCTGTAAGGCATTTTATGTTTGTAGGCACAGAGGCGTTACTAGTTGGCGAGCAATACACAAGTGAAAAAAATAGCATATTTTGCTTTCTGTGGAACACTTGATACTATAAAAATGTCAATCCATGTTGATCTGGGATTGTAGAGCTGTATATGCTTAATTTGAGTTCCCCTTAAATCTGACGGTCTTGCAGTATGCCAACTATTTCACAAATTCTGAAGAATATTATGAGTTTACCAATTTTACTTTATCATGTAAATACATGATTTTAGCTCAGATTAGCTTTGTGTGCGTGTGTTTGTTTGCGTATATTTATATGTTTTATGCATGATATAGAAATTACAATAAAGCAACAAAAGTGTTTAAACATATAGGCCTTACATGTTATCAAATGCATCTAATGTAGTAGAAAATAATGTCCTCTTCTTTCAAAGCACACTCTGCGAAATATCTTATATCTTACTTTTGAAAACTCACCTGTTCATGTGGTTCCTGACTAATTCTTAAAACTACAAATCATATATAACTCCTGGTTGTGCGGAGCATGTGTGACAGTAGGGGGTTAACAGCACCAGAGCTCTTTGGTTCTTGGACATGGTGGCCTCGCCTGCCGGATACAAGTTTGACTCAAGGGCAAAATCCAGAGTGAAAGCCTCACATGTTTTTGACTGGTTGCCAATTCTCTCTCTCTCTCTTTTTTTCTCTCTCTCTCTGTACCTCTTTCTCTCCCCCATGCCTCTCATCACCCTCTCTCTTTGTCTCCCCCTCCGCTCTTTCTCTGATTTACCCCTTTTCTTTCTGCCTGCTGTTCCCCCTCTGATCCTCTCCCACATCAAAATCAGGGGCAGACAAAAAGCAGGTTCTGTGTCCCTCAGTAAACTGCACAGCCTTGTTCGGAATTATATAATCTCTTTAAAAAAAGAAGAAAGACATGAAGTCGACACATCAGTCAATGGTAGAAATCAGCTTTAGTTACAGTGGGATTGGGAGAAGCTTATAAAACAGACCAGCAAACAACTAACTTGTTTAGTTAGAACAGAAGGAAGACTGGCTTCGTGCAACTATATTACTGGGTATAGTATAAAAAATAAATAAATAAATAAAAACACATTTAATTGTTTTTAAGGCTGCAGTCCCTCCATTTCCAATGTAGCATTCATGCTCTGCAGTCAAGCCAAGCCTGTTGCACTGAAAGTTTTACAAACTCTCTGTTAAACCACAGTGAGGTAGCCAACCCGAGCAGATTTGTATGCACCGAGAAGGGTTAAAAAAGAACTGGGTTTTGGGTCTTTGAGCTTGTTCTTTTCTTAAGGATAAGGTTCCTTCAGGGCACAACCTGGTTACACACGGAATGCCACATTCCACATTTTGGCGCCTCTACTTTTCTCTGATTTACCAAGAAAAAAAGACTCCTGAGAATATTTAAATCTCTCTAGTGGATCACCACCAGAATTTACTCAGCGTTCTGTAATAATATAAACTCCAGAATAAGCTCTTTCTGTAAGCTTACATTCTGCACAAACCTGGGGCGGTCCATCTCCCAGGCACTATGACTCACCAAAGACCTCTATGGATTGCAGACTGACAGGTTAGGAAACCACATGCAGCAAATGTCTCGAGGCAGGGAACAAAGTCAACTCATGTCTCCTCGGGCGAGCCATATATTCACCCTGGCAGCCTGCTATCATCCAGCAGACTGGAAAAATAAAAAACCGGGACAGTTTTAAATAAAACTGAGGTTCAGACAGATGTGCAGGAAATACGTTAGTCATCGTGTTCGATATCATCAAGCACGTGTTTCCTTTCATTAGGGAAAAAAAACCTAATGGTAACTTGAGCTGTGAACCACGTCCGATCTTGATTTCTTCATTATGCCTTAGCTGACGTCTAAGAATAGGACAACTGAGTTGCGGATGTGGCCATTTGTAAACAGATGTAGACGTAGCTATGAGCAGGTCAGATCCGAGCTGGCCAACAATGCACTCAGCGACGGCGCTCCGAGGAGAAGATTCCCAGCATTCCTCACTGGTTAGGGAGCGGTACCGGCCTTCACAGATAGGAAGTCATCTGTCATGAGGGGGTAATCACTTCTTGAGGAGCTTTGCAATGCCTGGAATGATTACTGCTGTTATCGGCAATGAAACTTGGTGCACCAAGAGAGGAGGACTCTCCAAGAACCCCTCATCTGTTTTAGCAACTGTCTCTCCGTCAAAGCCGTAATTGCTCTGTGCAATTACAGTCAGTGTTTTTGACCTAGCTTCTGTCACTGGTGTGTAAATGTTTCAGTGTTGACTTAAAGCTAGTTAGTATTTCTTACCCAAAGGCATTTCTAATTACGTATTCCTCATGTGTAATGATGCCTATCATTGTCAGCCGTGCAACAAAGGTGAATGTGATCCATCATGCAGCTTCATGTTAGAACAACAGACTCCAACAATAATCAGTCAATGGCAGCATTCTGTCTCCCACAGTAGTTTTTAGGTTTATTTCTTAGGTTTTGGTCCTGTCACTTCAAGTGTTGTGTCTGGGTCCGTGAGCCTGGTGGTTTTTCTCTTCTCCTTCACCTAATTCCCCTGTCCCTCCTCCTTCCTCCGCTTTTGCCTTCTGCCAGTCGAGCTGAGACTTCAGGTGGAATGATGCTGTTACGAACAGAGCCCGTCAACGCTTTCCCGACATGCCAAGCCAAGTATTTGTCTTTCAGGGTCCCCCCTTCCTTGCTGTCTCCTCCTTCTCCTCCCTGTCCTATGCTTCCACTCCTCTTCCACCCCTTTAACCCCCGGATCCTTGAGAACAGGAAGTGTATCTTGTTAAGTGATGGATGGGCCCCCTGCTCTTGCTGAGAGGAAAGAGAAAAAAGCCTTTCTTTCCCTCCAGGCCAGTCAGATGAGTTTAGCAGTCTCAAAGCTGAGGGTCGGCTCTGCTTTTTGGAAGCACCATGGAACCCTTGGAGCCCCAGCGCCTGGAAGCCACCGGCACTTGTCCATTATGTGTGTGGGGAGAATTAATGGCTGATAAATAAGCAGACGGTGTCTTTGCCGTAGAAAAAAAAAGTGGACATGAAATTAAAAGGATTATGCCAAAGACAGATTTACAGGAGTCGTGTCTTAGTGTCCACACTTGTGTACCTCAGCGTTGTGTGTGTGAGTCATTTGGCCAGGGGGTCAGCAGGTTTGTGTTGGCATGCAGCCGCCACATACTTCCAGCGAGACTACTCAGGAACTGTTGCTGGCACGTACTGCGAACACTGCAATAGACACTGCTGCGACTGGCTGGACCTGCTGTGACAAACAACCCCAGACTGCAGTCCCTAAAGCACCAGTCTCACCTCCTGAACACACAAACCTACAATAACCTCCAACCTGTGGGAAGTACCGCAATAAAAACATCTCACATTTGCTATTTTATTGTTGTTTTCCCATTCCCCGCCTTTAGACCGAGGATGCATTTATTATTTTTTCCAGCAGATCCAAGACCTCTGTCACTGTGTCTTCAACCATTTCCGTCTATTTCTATTACACAAGGCCAATTTCTAAACCACTTAAGGTGGAAATAGACAATTTGAACATGACAGTTTGTCAGCCACGGCTTTCAGACATGTACATATGCACATACAACTCAACTTTTAAATGAACTACCTAATGGGTCGTAGGGCTGACAGTTGATGGTGTTTGGCGAAGTAGACCTGGAATAGCGGTGTAATAATGAATACTTGTCAGCTCTGTCCAACCTTTACTGATTACTCCTGATGTATGACGTCCTGCTTGGCCTCCATCTCTCTGTGTCTCTGATGGTCAAGCTTCAGCTCCACTGTGGCCAGTTTGGCCCAAATCCAGAGACTTCTCTTCTCCTCAACCAGTCCTAGCTGGTGTTTAAAACATAATCAGGAAAGGAAACAAATTATTTTCATTTGTTTGTTTTTCTGTTGATTCCTCTTTCCATCTGAAATTAAAAGCTCATTTACCATCAAGTGAAAACATATTTGGGTGACTTTGAAATAGTACTTCAACGAGTCAGTCAGTCTAAGGAACAGGCAACCCAAACCAAACAACACCGTACCGTAACCCCACCTTGTCACAGTCGAGCTGGAGACAAGGCATATTTGTCCATTGGTCTGCTTGTCTGCCTTCAAGAGGCGCCTGCCACTTAATGATGTCTGACAAGCGAGACAGCCACAGCTTTTGGGTACTCGAGAACTGTTTTGGGGTCACAGAGATGTGATCTTCAGGAAGCGGAGGCCTTATCTGATAACGTCAACATTGTCTCCATGCTGACTGCAATAAGTGCAAAACTTAAATTTCATGGTTTGTCTGTCATGCATTCAGTTTGTGGCCCTGTGTGAGAAGGAGAAATGTTGTTTCTACAAACAACTTCAAACACTCTGAAACCAAGTCATACATTATATGAGTTACACTGTTGTCAATGGATCACAAGAATAGAGCGGTACATCTGACATGTACAAACAATAGATTAATAAAGTATATACTTAAAAGGTTTAGCTCCAAAGATGGAAATTGAACACCATTGAGTGAATTAAGTTTTCACTCAAAAAATCTAAAGGTTTGAAACATTTTACAAGAAATACCTATTAAAAAAAGGGAGTTGCTGAAAAGGTTTAGAAATGGTTCAAAATAATGAAATGTTGAACTTTAAACCAAAGGGAAAAAAGCCAAGACATTGGTAAAATAAAGAGGAAACATTGGAAAACTAGTGTGTGAGAGAGAGAGAGTCCCATTCTATAGTAAATCAGACACTGACTGTCTCTTCCTGTTTTTGTCCCACAGGCCCTGATGCGTCCAGGTCGCCTTGACCGCATCATCTTTGTCCCTCTTCCAGATGCTCCAACCAGAAAGGAAATATTTGCTCTTCAGTTCCGCAACATGCCTGTCACCAGCAACGTGTCTCTAGATGAATTAGTCTCGAGGACAAATAAATATTCTGGAGCAGAGGTGAGTTACACTGTTGTCCATGGATCACAAGGAATTGGAGCGGTACATCTGACATGTAAAAGCTCTGGTTTGTGGGCCACCTGTGGGAGTTGGATGAGTTTCTGCGACACTTTTTTTTCACTGGTGTAGCTAAAGATTCCTCAAAACTTGCAGTAAGTTTCACATTTCAAAACATAAAAACTATTTTTCCTTCAGTCAGGCTTCGTCTTCTGCAGCAGTTTCCTGTCATTTGAGTCTGATTTAAATTCTAATCCATGTTTTATCTTTTAATTGGACTTATTTGAAAAACCATTCGACCACAGTCTGTCAGACACAGTCTATCAACGTTTTCCCATTTGTTTCTTGTTGGGACGTTTGGAGTGTAAATGTGTGATCACATCCTGCTGTGCAGAGATGTTTCTGTGCTTCTCCATATGACATCTGTGCTGTGTCTGTACTGTGTCACCGAGGCGTCCTCGTGATCGTGCAGCCGACTGGGAGCAATCGTACAAACACTGCTATGTGCGACCACATTTGTCTCCTCTGCAGCGCGGTCCACATTTTCTGCAGTCGAACAGCTACTGCTGTCGTCCTGGACACAAATAAATAAGAAGTTCTAAGAAATGGTGCACGGAGTTGAAAAGAACAATCTGTCGTTTCTGGCCAAACAAACACATTTACTGACTTCATGAGTTTAGTCTGTGCTTGGTATTTACTGCTTATGGTGCCGACTATAAAGATTTTGAGCGTTTTCTCCTCTGGCTCTGGTTCTTTCTATCGTTGACTTGTTCTTTGTCAGAGAAATTGTGTTTGTCTTCGACCTTCACTGTAACTCACGCTGCATACACGACCAGACTGAAGGAAGAAACATTCCCATAGGATGAACAGTCCATCTTTTCCCCGTTAATGTATATTGTCAAGTATATTTAGACTTCAGAAGGCTGTGTAGATGAGGGCCACGTCATGTTGATCGACTTAAGAAAACAAATGAAGACGCAGACGTGCTTTGGCGTTCTGTGGAAGAAACAGATTTGGTTAGACTTTTGTGTGACGTTTGTGAGCCCAGCTCTACACATACACACGAATCTGAGATGTGTTGTTCCTTTCGTTTGTTTCTTGTGAGATTCTGCAGAAGCCAGGTTTGTTTTGATGTAGATGCAGAAACCTCCTCAGACGTCTCGCTCTAGATTAAGCTGCAGGTTCTAGTACGAGACCACCACTGTTGAATGATTTCTTCATCAGATGTTCGCTTGATCTGGTTTTTTGGGTTAGGAGTTTGAAAGCTTGGCTTTAAGTTATTTTGCATAATTTGTTTTTTATTTTTCCTTTGAAACACTACATTGGACTTGGCATGTTTAAATATTAATTACTGAAAAGTTGAAGTTGTGAGGGAAGTGCAATAGATAGAAGAAAAAAGTAATGACAAAATGTAACAATGAACCAATGTCTCATGTAAATATAGAACCACGTTGACACTTTCTTTATGTCTTTACTCATTAGTGTTGAGTCTGTGGATATCAAAATCTGCTTCTAAAAACGTTTTTTGGGGAATGTTTGACATCCATGTCCGTTTCTCAGCAGAAACTGACCCTGTCTCATGTTAAGAGACCATCAGTCTCCTGGCTGTTTTTGAGTCTGGACTCTCAATGTCAGTTGATTAATTCTTGGGCCCCGTAAACGTCTGCTTCCACCCAACCCAACACCTGAGAGCGGCCCACTCTGCCCATGTAAAGAGTTCTGAACATTCAGTCACTTTAACAGATTGCTGCCATTTCCTCCGCCCACGATTAATGCAGTTGGTACAGGGATCAAACCGGTCACCTCGTCTCACCTGTTTTTTCCAGCATTGCCTCGTGTGTCGAAGCAACTTAATTGCCGTTTCTGTTTGTCCACGGAGTGGTTTAACACTGAGGTGTTTACAGATCGAAGGGACGTTACGTGACTGTGGAGGTGACGCATGAGTGGCTACACTGAGCGTGTTTCAGTCCTCGGCCTTGGCAGTCTGACTACGTGGAGCTTCGACTTTAATTGCATTCCTGGGATTTTAAGCTTGTTTGGAGGAAGAAGGAGGCTGGGGTTACTGAAGAGGAGGGGGTGAAGAGGGTGAGGGGCGGGGGTCGCAGGACATAGTTGTCAGCTCAGAGCTGGAATCTTGTCAAAATCACCTGCCTTCCTACCTGCCTGGACTGACACCTGGTTGTCCAACCCTTCGCCTTCCCTCTGAACCCTTTATTCTGACACCACATACACACACACACACACACACACACATCCACACATCCACACCTGTAACTAACGCTTAGCCCAGGAAATTGCTGGCGGCTCTCCTTCCTAACCTCTGCCATCCCTCCTCCAAACAGAAGCAACATTTGATACTGTAATCGCAGTGTTGTCACGAAGAAGAAGAAGGGCTTAGGTTGCACCTGAAGGAAGGTGTGATGCTACTACATTTTTGTTTTACAATCAAGCCCCGACAGGAAGAGACCCCTGCACCCTGCCACAAACACAGAGTCAGTTCCAAGTTTTGCTTGCAGACTTAATGAAAAGTTGAGGCCCTCCTGGGTGTTGGTTCAACCATTTTGTTTTTCAATTTAGTAATATTCTGTCTCCTGCAGATGCAGGAACATCAGGTCTCTGTCCCGAGCACAGTCCCAGCTAACATCGCACAGAAACCCCAAACCTTTGAGAGGCCAGACCTGTAAGAAGGCTATGCAGACAATATTTTATTTTATATTCCTCATATCTCAGTAAAAATCTCAATTTCTTATGTAGAAAAAGTAGTAAAACTTAAGCCAAACTCAGACTTCTCTGCAGACCTCTGTGTGGCGTTTGATTGGCAGGTGACCACCAGGAAGTGCGGTGTGAAAACAACCTAAGCAAAGAGCACTTAGCAGCTCCTGACAAGTTGTTGACAAAAAGGAGTCAAGATTTCTCTGCCTGGGAACAGAACGACCAGAGCTGGGAGTCGATGTTTAGATGCAGAACATGTTGGTGTGATGGCAGCTGACAGCACACAGCTCTCTGCCCTTCTCTGCAAGTTGAGTTCGAGTGTTTCCGTGTCATAACATCCATTTCCATAGGGAGGGTCATTATGATAAAACCGCAGAACATCTTTGTGTTCCATCACACATGCCTTGCGCTGACCTTGGCCTCCGTAGCGGTAGGTCTTTTCCTTCCAACAGAGGGAGAGCATTTTGGTCCCAGCCCAGGTGTTGGAGACGCTTGGCCGACGGCCATTCAAATTCACTGGTGCAATTGTTTTCTTTACTGTGTTTTCTTTTTCTTTTCTTTTTTTCCTGCCCTCGCCCACATTGGCAGCAGCCAGTCCGTTCCGATGCAGGACGTACATGTTCAAATTGGACCAATCAATGGTTATGTGTGTTTGCGTGTATGTGTGTCTTGACGTCAATGAGCTTGCAGTTTCCCTCTGTTAGATGCCTTCACTGTTTCTGCAGCTTCCAGTCAACAAAGTCAACGTGCTGCGGTGTAACCTGAGGTGAAGCGGTTCCTTCAACTCTTTGGTTCAAATTAGATTCCAGTGCAGATGTGCAGGGTTGTTTTCTACAATCAGAAGTGTTAGATCACAGATAAGGGCCTATAAAATGACACACACTCTCACATATACGTGCACCACCATGACACACACTGAGAAAAAAAAAACACCCCCACAGGAAGACAAATGGTTTCCTCTTAACACCTGTTGTGGTCGTGGCTGTTCCTCCTTTGGCTCTGAGTGTGTTGTCTTCCTGATTTATGAGCCCGGTATTTGTTGCCGCAAAGATTTTTATCACCAAGGACACAGGTGTGAAAAAATGCCTAGACAGAAGAGGGTTTCTCTTTGAATAAAAGTGACATGACTCAACGTCCATGGCCATCGACCCGGGGTGCCATCGACCCGGGGACGCAGCAGAAAAAGGCAAATAAAAAAAACAAAAACAAAATCTGTAATCATCGTCAAATAAACATGTCAGCTTTGGTGGAATGCGTGTCTGACGGGCTCGGAATTGGCAGCAATTTTCCAAAATATGGTCTAACCTCCAGTCAGAGTGTGTGTGTGTGTGTGTTTCATTTTCTCTGTGCGGCTGACCACAGTTGTGGTCACACTGCCACTCAGAAAAACATGGTCGGCACACACTCAGCTGCTCAACAAAGACTGCGCAGGGGGAAAAGAGGCCTTTCACACTTGTGTGGCTGTGTGCGTGTGTGTCTGAAACTCAGCTACTCACTTCCTGTCCTCTGAGTCCTTTTGTTTTTAGCTGATACTGCAGGTTAAATAAAGATGTGAGAAGGAAACAGTGACGGCAGCTCACAGACTGGTAACTGACTTCTAAATATATCAGGTCTTATTAGGATGTGAAAGCTTTTTTATGCATTAAAACAGATTTGATCATATAAAAATAATAAGGACCAGCTGTTATTCCTGTGATACTTGACAATATTGACAGTCGAACACAAATCCGCTTGTAAACAAGAATATTAAGGGTATAACAAATGTTTTTGCCACAAATAAAAAAAAATCCACCAACTTTGTAGCATTCAGAATTTCAGCTTTTATTAAAATTGTACAAATTTGCCAGTTAAATCATATTGATTTGGTTAAATATGTCAAAGATATTCTATTTGTTTTCAAAGTATGCCTAAAGTAGTCCAAAGTTATCAGACAACTAAAGATTAGCCAACATATCACCAACCAAGAACACAGTGGTAGCCCAAATTTACCAAAAGTTAGCTTAAATAAGTACATTTTAGCTTAGATAATTATATAAAAAAGAGATATATCTGTAATTGGGATTTTAAAAAAGAAACAGTGAAAGGCAGGTTAGAACAGCTAAACACTAGCAGATAAATAAAAGGCAACAGGAGCCCAAGCAGCAAAAGCAACCATGTGGCCCAGCCTAATATAATAAAGAAAGTTTTATATATATATATATATATATATATATATACACACACACACCATTTCTGTTTTTTTGGACAGGAATTCATCCATAACCTGTGTTTATGTTTGAACACGTGACTGT